CGGCCTCATAGCACACCCCGAAAGTAGGGGGGGGGGGGAGGAACGATCATTCTCACGGCCCTTGTTCATTTCAGTTTTTCTCCTTTGGATTTCGCTCATGGATGCGAGCTCCCAACTTTTTTGAAGCACTGATGTCGCTTTTGTAGACCAAAACTTCGTAAATTATATTAAAGTCTCTCCCCTGATCATAATGAAGTCGGTGTTTCTCAAATTGTTCGGGCAAGCTTTCACGTCTTGCATGCAGTCACATGCTCGTTACGCGGCAATAAAATGTCAGATTCGGAGGATGTCCGACTCGAACTTTGATCATTTGATTTTGATCTTTTTTCTGAACCTAGCTTTAGTCGGGGCTGTTTTCAGAATCATTACCCAAAGAAGCGGTTTCACGGTAACAGTTATACGGCACAGCAGTATACAGCCGCTCAAGACGCATTAGTTCCAATAGGATCGATCATGAAATTCAGAGGAAAAACCTTTACAGTGTACCTTGCATTTTTGAGTGAATTTGCCAATCAAAGTTCACTTTAGGAGCAACTCAGAAAACCTACCATCCACTCGTCTTCGATTTCCTGCAGTGTGAGTGGCTTTCCACTTTTGTGTAAAATGGAGTACGTAACGGCACGAGCTTCCTTTCTTAGTCCCATCAAAGCTATAACAATTAGAATACGACAGCGAGAGGACTAGTGGAAGAGAGGAAGACAAAGAAAATAATAATAAAGAGCCCTGAACATGTCAAAATAAATGAATGGATGAACTGAGAGGTGCCATTCGAATTTCTCGGGGTCTCTGCGCGCGACGTTCCGAGTTTTCCCCGAAACAACGTACAGTTCATCCTCCTTCATGACCACTTGAAGACATCGTTGATTTGACGAATTGCTCGAACCTGTTTGGACGATCAGTACTCTCAGTATAGGCGATGAGTGGTCTTCGGGTAAATTACTTGCTCATTAGACAAAAGAAAGGTGAAGTTGACGAGGTAGCAGATAGAGTCAGCTAGCGTCATAGCTCAAAAATTTCATCAGAACTATAAGTTCAACGAGTTGAGATCAATTTTGCAAATACCTTTGTTACGAGCTTTCCTTCGGTTGAACTCGACAAACTTTCTATTGTCTTCCTTCATGATATGATGGATGCAGTCATTCAGTCTTCTAAAAAAGTCTACGCTGGAATATTTCAATTGTAGCGAAACAGCATAGAAGAGAACGAACAGATTCGAGATCAGAACTCCTTGTGTATGCCTGCGACATTCGGGACAACGATCGTCTACGTTGACGGCTTCGTCAAGGCACAGCTCACAAAAGGAGTGTCCACAGCGCAGAACGATAGCCTGCAAAGGAAAACGTCTTTCAGGTGGCGTTCGGAGAACGATGCGTACCGAAAATGTAAGTCTTAGGACTTTTGCTGAAAATATTTTCGATATATGCGCCATCGCGCCTTCACTACTTGAACTGTCAAATGCGGAAAACTATGAATGCTCTGTCTATAACTGTAGACGGTCTACATTTCTCATGACTAAATTGCCGCTTATGTGGGCACAACGCAAAAAATATAGGCATGAGTGAAAACAGAGACTGACAGCTATCAGGTTTATGAGTGCTTCTGATTAGTTCGAACATTCTACTTGATATGCTCTGAACAAGGCTGGCAACATGTACTCAACTGACTTCATTTTCCTATGCGCTTGCAGCAAAGAAAACGGACTGGTCTTTCTGACTTGTTCCCGTCAGCTTGAAACCACCATCATGGAAAACGCAAGGCATAAAAAGCGAAAACGCAATAAATAAAAATCCGATTCTTATGCAGCAGATCTTTCCAGAGTCGCGCAACATCTAGAATAGAAAGGGTAAGAGGTTAAGCTCAAGTCTTCTTGATATATCTGATTATCCATCCAAAGCAAGATGGAAAGGCGTATTTAAGGAGGCATGACCCAAAAACGAAGATGGAGAGAAGGAAAGATGACAGAAAAACTTTTTTGTGAAGAAAAAACACGGAAGCTAATTGCAGTAGTGCAGGGAGACAAAAGGGACGCGGCAATTCACTCAAAAGAAGTTCTTTTCTCAAAACTTACAGTTTTACTTGGCAAAGAGCAACTTCGCAGCGCAGCCCTTTCCTAGCGGTTATAGCCAGTCAGCTGGTCCTCCAGAATCCCAAACACCTATACAGCACGGTTGGAGCCACGCTTTTGAGGTCATCCTACTGTGTACAAGGGAGTCGCTGCGTGAAATTTGAAATGACTTCAAAGGAGACAAGACACTATTGTTCAAATAGGGGAAAGTCCGGCGGGTTGTGAAGCAGATGAAAGTTGTATATAACTGACTATAACTGACAAAACAAGCAACAGGTCGGATTCGCGTTGTAAGAGGCTTGCCAAGGGTGAAGTAGCGAAAGCTAAGAAGAGGAACTCGTCTTCCAGATGAACAAGACTTCTTTTCCCGACGAGCTTCACCGTTAATACAGCTGACAAATAGAAGCAACAGAGCGTCAAATCATCAAAATTAAGTGAAGGAGGAGAAGGAATATGAAGTGGATTGGACGTATACGAGTGACTCATCGGTTCTTAAAAATTGTGTTTGGAAGAAAGGAGAAGCAGTATTAAAGTCCTCATCTTCCAGCACGAGAGCAAGGCTATGGAGTGGAGCGCCCCAATTATTTCAGGATCAGGGAGACAGTGCATGCCGTTAAACTACGAACAGTTAGTTGGTCGACTCAAGATTGAATGTAATTGTCCTTATCTCATAACATACAGAAACAAAGGCCGTACGGCAAGACCTCACTGCTTGCCCAAAGACATTTCAGCTGTTGGCCTACCAGTAGTTCGCGGAAACCCAGAAGAGCCCCGGGGAACTCGGATTAAGTTTAGAACGAGCGGTTTTGAGTTAGGTTGTAAACAGAACATGAATTGATAGAAATCCCAAAGCTCTTTTTTTAATGCGTTATTATAAGTCACGATTCCCCCTTCCTTCCTGAATCGCAGAGGCACTGAATGCTTAGCTGTCTTATATGGGTGTGCGACCAATCCCTTCTGGAGATAATAGGACCACATTGGGCTGCATTTATGCCAAACAATTCATTCAAGGCATCAGTAAATAATATTGATATAATAGACTTTTTAGAAAGAATTCCTAGCTTCAAAAAGGTAACGACTCAAAGTCCAGATGTAAGGCGCCTCAGCTAACTTACGGATAAAACCTATCCCAAGGAAAAGGCTTCACGACTGAGAGTCATTCATAGAGAGATGTCATGTTAGCTGGCAACTCCTCTCAAAACCGTGTCCTGCGGCTTGGTTTTCTGTCTACAACAAATTCTGCCTCTTATTCGTGCAAGCGCAAGTCTGTGCACCTGCTTTCCTGAGTTAGTCTGAACAACGGCAAGCGAATGACAAATGCATCCTCAAAGTAACGGATTCGCAAGTCTTCAATAATGCTTAGGTTTCAGCTAATCGACCCCTCGAGACAGTTCTTATGGTTAGATAGTCGGGGTGGATTTCACCGATGGGTTGAGTGATTGTGTGATGCATTTGCCCAACGAGCATCAGAGGTAAAACAGAAGCGCGTTAGTCCAAAAACTTTATCTTGAGTTGAAGAACTAATTGGCTTGTTCGTAACATTCGATCAATTCAAAGCTTAGATCTTGTACTGTCTTTCGGAATGGTATGGCCTCACTAATAAAAAGACCGGCTAAGACAGAGAATCGATTATTCTCATCAAGTTCTTTACCAAGTTGAAAATTCAGAGTTTCCAGTTCGTTACATCCAAAAAACATTAACTCACGTCAACCAAGACATCCAAACAAATGGGGCATTGGATGCTGGAATTCATATTGAAACCAGTGAAGTAGGCTGGGAAGGGACCGTAAGATCTTTGTCTCGGAAGGCATAAATCGGTCGATGGCAGGCGAGAATAGGCCTTGGTGTAGCCCAGAGTCTCGCTCTAGGCAAGCGTACCAGATAGTGTCACCCCAACACTAGCAGATTGCGATCCTGACGTACTCAGCAAGAGTAGCAGTGGCACTTATAACATTGGTCTGAGCAAAAAAAGTATTTCCATCTCCAGTCACCAATTCCTTCAGCATATCAGTGTGCATTGCACAAACCAAAAACACATTGACTCGATTTTCGAAGTAACTTATCGTGTGTTGAACGCGAACCTTCCTATATCATCGTAGGTTCATAAGTAGGGGAAAAGAAGAGAAAGCACTTACTGTAAAAAATGTCCTTCCAACACTTTCAGTAGAGCTAATTTCATTGTAGAGTTGGAGGATGGCTTGTGAAGGAGGATGATTGCTGAGGGAACGCCTCTTGCATGAAGATAGCTACTGGTTGCTGAAAGAAAAAGCATTTTGAAGCAGAAACCAGGTCAAGTGTTGTAAGTTTACACTCGCAATGATCGCTCCATCCATTTCCAGGTGAAGACTTTTCATGCGATTTAGGCTGACTGTACTCGTTTCATCAAGAGGAACGTATACCCGCTGTCATACTCACACACAGGCCATAGACTGGCTCAGCCATGGTCACTTCATAAAAAGCGCTCTGTGCCCGATTTTCAGATGAATTTGATCGATTATCTGCTTGTGAACTGCTCCTTTCCAATGCAGACTTATTCTGTACAGTTCACAATAAAAATGGATTTTGGGAGGTCTCCCTGGAGTGAGTCAGTGACCCCGAAGAAAAAAAAGTACAAGGGTCGCTGTCGGGTCAAAAACGGTCTAGATAGGTCTTTCTGAGTGCCTCAAATCCGCGCTTGACCGACGTACACACTAGGGCGGACGGGTTCTCAGGTTTTTGTGGTCTCATTTCTCCCTGTCCTTGCGGGTCACAGATTCACCCCAGAGAGAACTCAAAATCTTTTTTTTATCGCGAACTGCCTTTTCGAGTAAAAATCTGTGCTGGAAAGGAGCAAGCTTTACAAGCAAGCTGCTGATGGAAATCGTCCAAAAATCGGGTACACGGCACTTCCTATGAAGCGACCATAGTATGGCAGCGGATAAACCCTTCCTTTTCAATGAAACGAGTACAGTCAGCCTCTATCGCATAAAAAGTCTTTACCCGGAAGAATCTAGCGATCATTGCGAGTGCAAACTTACAACACCTGACTGGTTCCTGCTTGGCAATGCTTACGCTTCCAGCAAACAGTAGCTATCTTCATGCAAAAGGTGTTGTCTCAGCAATCAGTCACCTTCGCCAGCCATCCTTCCATTCTACAATGAAACTAGCTCTACTTGAAATGCAAGTGTTGAAAGGACATTTTTTACAGTTAGTGACTTCTCTATTTTTCCCCTACTTATGAACCTACAATGATATAGGAAGGTTTGCCTTCAACACAATGTTAATTTGAGAGAGTCCAAATTCTGTTTCTGGTCTGTGAAGTGTACACTGCTATGCTGAAGGAGCTGCTAAGACAAAGATGGACAAGTTTCTTTGCTCTGACTAATTTTATAAGTGCCACTGCTGCTCTCACTGAGTACATCAAGATCGCAATCTGCCAGAGTTGGGGTAACACCATCCTGTGCGCTTGCCTAGAGCGAGACTACAGGCTACACCACGGTTCATTCTCGCCTGCCATCGACCGATTTATGCCTTCCGAGACAACGATCTTACGGTCCCTTCCCAGGCTACTTCACTATTCCTGGATCCGTGCGTCCAATGTCCTCTATGGTTGGATGTCTTAGTTGAGGTGAGTCAATGTCTTTAAGAAAGTAGCGAAGTGGAAACTCTGAACTTTCAACTTTGTAAACAACTTGATAAGCAAGGCATTTAGTTCCTAAGCCTACGATAAAGTTTTTATACCACTGCGCTTTAGTTACACTCCTGATGCTAGCTCGGCAAAACACATCGCTCAAGGCATCAGAGGAATCCACCCCCCCCCCCCCCCCCCCCACCCTCTAGGTATTGTACCGACGGGGTCAATTTGGGTTCAGTTTTCTTCTGGGAGTGAAAGCGCTATCAGAGATTTCCGAATTCAGCATGTTGCGGATGCATTTATCTACGTGCTATGCGCCAGGGTAATGCTGACGTCCTAGCGGCAGGTGGAGTGGCTCATGTAAAAACTGCGTAAAGAGGACTCTCAATTATGAGGCCCTTTTCATTGGAAGGATTTCTGCTAGAAGTTCGCTTAGGTTCTTCACATCTCTACTTTAAGTGACTCGTTCTTGAAGCTAAAAATGATTGAAAAAAGTGTATAAATCAATATCATGTATGAATACCTTGAACAAATTGTTTGACAGAATTGCAGTTGAATGTTATCTTATTATCTCTGGGAGCGATTGGTTGTACTCCTGTATAAGACAACTATGCATTCAAGTCCCTCTGCGGTTCAGAAAGGAGGGGGATTCACGGCACATTTTAACGAATTTCAAAAAAGAACTGTGTGATTTTGTTCATGTTCTGTTTACAACATCACTCAAACTCATCCGTTCTAAACTTGATCCGAGTTCCCCAGGGCTTCCCCGGTTTCCCTGGAACTACCGGTAATAGATAAAGACGTCTTTGTGCAAGCAGAGAGTTCTTGCAATACGGTCTTTGTTACATATATATGTAGCCGTCGTTGTAATGCCGACTCTTGTTATAATGGTTTATCCACCCCATTATGATTTCCTCCTACCAGTGTTTGAGTCTATCACATTGTGAGCCTTTTAACGGCACAGTTCACGATAAAAATTGTTTCTGAGATTTCCCTATAGTATGAATTCGAGGCTCCCTCTTACACCATTGCTGCCGTTATATGGTCGAAAAACGTTGTGGATAGGGCACAATAGGGGGCCAGAGAAAGATGTATTGTGTGAAGGCCGCACCCGTAGTAGACGGATTTCAACGGCTTTGTAGAGGCTGCACTATTTTGAGGGACTCCCATGTAGAATGATAAAACAAGTTGTCTTGCTCCACAGCGACAGAAAAACGCAGTTTCGGACAATTTCGGCTTACTGTAATCATCTGTTTGCGCAATGGGAGAAAGTTAGATCTCATCCAAACACCCCTTACATGCCATTTCCATCACCGTGATCTCGCACAACCTCCACTTCCCTACTTCTAAAAAGCCTTGAAGAAGGCGGATTTTCCCGCTTCCTTTGCCATCGATGTACTCCTCAACATCAACACTTCCATTTTTTCAATCTGAAAAGGTACCTCAAAATTATCGTGAAGTGTGCTTTTAAACATGCTCACCATTTCTTTATCCAAGCATCTTACCACTAGCAGTCCTCTCCCTCACTCTCGTCAGAGCCATAACCAGTATCCACTCTCTCCCATTATTATACCCTATGGAACTGAGGACTTATGTACCGTTTATCGATGACAGCTATGTTGTTAAATCAAAACAGCTCGAGATGATTGGAAATAGTTCATCAGTAGCGAAGAAAGCGGGGGAATTCGCCAATTCCGAGAAAAATAAGGCTCCTTAAAAGTAGTGAAAATAAAGATTGGACGAGATTACTATGACGGAAATAACATGGAAGGGGTATTCGGACGAGATTTCAGTTTTTGCAGCTACGCAAAGAGCTGGCTACAACAAGCCAGAACTCTCTAGAATTGCTTTCCACAGTCGCTATAGGTCATGAAAAGTTGTTTGAATTTTCTACATTGGTTCCCTTGTAAACGGTGCAGCTTGTACACTGCCGGTGAAACTCGTCCACACATGCCCACGGTGCAATCTCTGAGCCTTCATAACACCTTAACTAGGCCGTTTTTAGACCTGATAGCACCAGATAGACGAGTGGGCCCCAAATTCATCTTATGGGCAATCTCAGAAACCATTTTTATCGTGAACTGTGCCTTTGAGGGATCTTGTGCAAGCAAATTGAGAAGGAAATGGTCACTCCTAACACCTGGGATTTCATAGTTGAATGGTTATGTACAGAAAAAGTGGTAGTTCGGACTACAAAGGCATTCCGCGAAAATTCGCGAATGTACAGAACTCGCCGTAAGAAGTCGAAAACTCAAGCGAATACTGCCAACCCACGTCTTTTTCGTCTTTTCTCCATAAATCGGTTCAGAGTGGAGTAATGCAGGAGCTGAAGACACCGTTGAACTCATCGCCCGTCGAGCTCTTTAAAGGCATCATTCACAAAAAGTAAGGGTACCCTTTTTTGACGGGGAATCGATAGAACAACTCTAGAATAAAGCGATAACAACGAAAAAAGCGCAAAACAC